AACTATCTGGACGCACGATTGGTCTCGGCCACTACTGTCCTGTGCAAACTGAACTGAACTGAACTGAACACTATCAGTCCTGTGCAGCCTGACCTGACCTGATTTGACTGGACTGGACTTGAATTCAAGGTCAGTAGTCGTTAGGGTCATTTGAAGGTAAAAAATGTGCGCATGTTTGACCCGGGATGTTATCGCAACCCTCTTTCGGAGGTATGTTTCATTTAAAGCTTATACCCAGTAAATTATAGAGCAGATACCGATGGAAGTGGTCGAATAGATAGTAACGAACTGCAGAGAGCTCTCCTCAATGGTAAGCTCAATACGGTTGCTCACAATCATGGTTGTATATTCTAATTGGTGTATTTTGATATACCCGGCCAACATTTCCTTCCTCCAGTGAAAAATCGCAATTATACATTCACTGCTGACAAGTAGCGCGAACGCGTTTACATAATAAACCGTTGCTTGAAGGCTAGAAAGTGTATATGAGTATGTATGTAAAGAAAAAAGTGACGGTAATCGGTGTGATATCCCTCGCATATGTGCTTGAAAATGTTTTAATATCCATCTGGATGTTTGAGGGCAAAAAGTGAAACTGACATTAATGTATTGAGATTCATTCCTGTTCCAACTTCCCCCAGCGGAGCCAGGAATTGGCTTCAAAATACGTTATGACCTTCAAATGGAGGGGTAGCGATATTTTCGGATTCTTTGCGCGACAGCAAACTTAATAACATTTCTTCGGCAAAACTTCCAATGTTGCGAGAACTCAAGGAATTCCGTCAATTTGTGATAGAATTTAAATGATAGCATCCATGAAGGATGATCGCAGGAAAATTAGTGAACATGTGATCGAATCAACTTAATTACATATAAGATTAATACACCCAGAATTATAATGTGTTGGTTGTATTTTCACAGGAAACATTTTAGTGTAAAAATTATTCCCCCGGACAAGGAAATATGAAAGTTGGCCTGGGGTTGGGGTGGGGATGGGAGTTCACACATGCCTAAGACCAGACTATGTGCCAAACAACTCACGGTACAGTGATCTTTGTAAAAATAATAAAAGTTCCATGATTCACATGTGGGCTGAATACTGCCAGGTTGCCCAGGCCAAGTCAGGTGAATTTTTTTTGGGGGGGGGAGGGGGGATTTACAACCTTCAGTTCAGTTTGTACAACCACTAACCACGCATATTCGTGCGCCGGTTTTGGTTGCTGTCTTTTGGCTGCCCATTGGGATGAAGAATAGGAGAAGAAAGGAAAGTTGAAAGTGGAGTCGAACAGAAAATGGAGAAGTTCAGTGGTCTAAGGTTGCAAAGAAATTGAGAAGATGCTCGAACGCCCCTGTTTGCGACACCCAGCCCTATCACTCAGTGTCTCTAACCATCATCCAGAGGTCCCCAGCCCGAGAGCTTAACAGGACCTATGTGACAGTCTCCTGGTTAGGGTTTTCATACCCTCGTACCAGGTCTTGGCTTGACCACCCTTGGCTTTTTTTCACTCGGTATTTGCTTCGGCGAACATCGCTCGCCGTGGTAATCTATCTGGTGATATGCGTAACATGTCCCAAACAACGTAATCTATGGAGGTCGATCACTTGCACCAGTGGGCGGATACCCAAAACTGCCCCTAACCTCAGCATTGCTCATCCGGCTNCTTTATCTTGTTTTCTTAATGGCCAAGTTTCTGCACCGTATAGCAGGACTGGCCGAACTGTCGCGGCATACACTCGACCCTTCGCAGAAAACCGGAGGTCGCGACAGCGCCACAGCTGTCTCAAATTGGCAAATGCCAACCGAGCCTTCTGTATGCGAGCTGTCACTTCATCCGTGTGGGTGAGCTGTTGCTGCCCAAATAACAAAACCCATCCACCTGCTCTATTACTTCCCCAGTTACAGTGAGGCTCGGTGCTGGACCGCCCCAGTCTTGTATCAACATTTTACACTCTGACGGTGCAAAACGCATGTTGAACATCGTTACACTGGCATTCAAGTTATCCAGAAATGCTTGCAACTTACCTGGATATTTACAACCTTAGCTTTCAAGTAGTCCGTCTTATTTGCAAGCCAAC